GACAATTGTTGGTGTTTCTTGGTATGATAAAATTCTCTTCTTCCACAATATTCTTGGTTGTTGTGTGATTCATTAAAACTTTATATTGCTTATACTCTTCTTCTTTAATTATTTGGGCCTTTTTTTTACAACAAATGGTATCAGAGCGTTCTTGATATCGGGTTGTTTCCCAACAAATGGTATCAAAGCCAAATGTTTTTTGACGGTTTCTTGGGAGGTCCAAATTAGTTATTAAAGTAAGGTTTGAAAAAGGTCGATTGTTCAGGGATGGCAGCTTTGAAGTTTAAAATTCCGCTTTTGGATCGCGAAAGTAGATTTTGGTTGTGGCAAATCAAGATGCGAGCGGTTCTAGCTCAATTGGATCTTGATGATACTTTGTTGTGGATTGATAGAATGCCTGTAGCAATGACAGGTGAGGAGAAACGACGAAAGGATCGGAAAGCCCTATCTCTAATATATCTTCATCTTTCCAATGAAATTCTTCAGGACGTGGTAAAGGAGAAAAGTGCCGCTAAGTTGGAGCAGCTTTGTATGACAAAGAGTTTGATAAGTAAGTTACACTTGATGCAACGCTTGTACTCTCATCGCTTGATGGAAGGTGGATCTTTGGAAGGTAATCTATCGGTGTTCAAGGAAATCGTCGCTGATTTGGAAACAATGAAGGTTGAGTATGATGAGGAGGACTTGGGGCTGATATTATTATGTTCATTGCCACCTTCATATATGACTTTTAGAGATACCATTCTCTATAGTCGGGATACTCTTACAATTGACGAGGTATATGAAGCTCTTTAGTCTAAGGAGAAGATGAAGCATTTGGTCGTCGGTTCTGAGGCTCATGGAGAGGGTTTTTTTGTTCGTGAGAAGAAGACGGGTAGTCATGGAAGGAGCAGAGTCAAGGATAGCAACGGCGGTATAATATGTTGGTATTGCAACAACAAGGAGCACATGAAGAGGGATTGCTATGAGTGGTGGAAAAGGTTTGCTACTAAGGATCAGGATAACCAAATAGAAAATTTCGGTAATGTTAATCTTGTAGAAGAGAACAGTGATGGGGATTTGTTGGCGATTACTGAAGGTGACTCTAAACCCAACGAGGATTGGATTCTTGATTCAGCTTGCACTTTTCATATGTGTCCAAACCGGGAATGGTTTTCTTCATATGAAACAGTTACAAGGGGTTCCGTGATGACGGGAAGCAATAAGCCTTGTCGAATTGCTGGGATTGGTAACATCAAAATCAAGATGGTTGATGGAAAGGTTAGAACTCTTAGCAAGGTTCGACATGTTCCAGGTATCAACAAAAATGTGATTTCCTTAAGTACTCTTCATGTAAAGGGGTACAGGTACACCGGTGGAAGTAGAGTTCTGAAAGTTAGCAATGGTGTCCCGGTTGTGTTAAAGGGACAGAGAAAGTCTCGGTTATATGTGTTGGAAGGTTCGGGGATCACAGAGGAAGCAGCTACAGCTTATGGTTTGATAAGCGGTAACTCGGGAAGAGTTGTTCGTGATCGGGTTATTCGTGATAATTCGAACAAGGCTTCTAGTAACTCGGGTGGAGCTGGTTGTGATCTTATTGATCATGTTACTCATGGTGATTTGAGCATGTCTGATAACTCAGGTGGAGTTGGCATTGCTTGTGGTGATTCAAGCAAGTTTATTGACTCGGCTGGAGTTGGAAGTGAACGAGATGATTCAAGCAAGGATAGCGCGCAAGGTAGTTGGGCTTGGATGTAGTTCACAATTGCTGAGTGTGCCCGGAAGGGGCATGGCGTGCCTGCCAGGGGCATGGGGTGTCCGATGGGGACATGGTTGAATAGTTGGAGAATGGCTTGAAGAGTGGAGATTAATTCTTTGTTATGAAATTTGTGTCAATGTGGAGTTTGTTAGGATTTGTGACAAAAATTCGATGTGATTTAGGAGTTTGTTGCATG